CGTGCAAATTTTGCCGCTAGCGGCCAAAAACCGTGCGATTTTCGCCGCTAGCGGCGAAAAATCAGGCGATTTTTGCCGCTAACGGCCGAAAACCGCGCTATTTTCGACGCTAGCGGCCAAAAACCATGCGATTTTCGCAGCTGGCGGGCAAAAATCGCGTGATTTTCGCTGCTACCGGCCAAAAACCGCGTGATTGTCGTCGCTAGCGGCCAAAAACCGCGTGATTGTCGTCGCTAGCGGCCAAAAACCGCGTGATTGTCGTCGCTAGCGGCCAAAAACCGTGCGATTTTCACAGCTGGCGGGCAAAAATCGCGCGATTTAAGCCGCTTCCGGCCAAAAATCGCGCGATTTAAGCCGCTAGCGGCCAAAAATCGTGCGAATTTCGCCACTAGCGGCCAAAAATAGCGCGATTTTCGCCGCTAGCGGCCAAAAACCGTGCGATTTTCGCCGCTAGGGGCCAAAAATCAGGCGATTTTTGCCGCTAACGGCCAAAAACCCCGCTATTTTCGACGGTAGTATACACTGATGCTTGTGTTTTTTCCTTTATGCTGTGTTTAATGTCAATTCATTTGGCGAGTGTCCCAAGTGCCTGGGTGTCCTGCTTGGTCCTTATCTTTAGGCCCTGGCAGACTTCATGGGGTCTCTGGTATGGGTCATAATGGATTAGCCCAATGAGCCCACATGTGTTATATGAAAATTCAAGAATGTCTGCTCTTGAGGCTTGATTCTCTCATTGTTTGCGTCTTAGTGCTCGCATAGATGTTCAGGATTTGGCCCCAAGGGTGTTTAGCGATTTCAAATGAAAGTGACAACACTTTTCTGAGAACTTCACTTGGATTTACGGGCGGTTTAGTTAAGCGCTTGTCGGATCACGACGTAAATTTACGGTCCGTGTTATAGTGGGTATATACTACTCGATCGACTTGGAGTTTGTATGAATATGTTTGCCATTAAATTTTCGTTTTCTCTAATAGGCACAGTGCCTATTTGAGAAAACGGCAATGTATTGTAACTTAGAGGAGAGACTATCGAGTTTGTGACAACGAGGGTAATCGCCCACTCCACACTCTCTTGTGTTGGCCGCGATCATGATTCTACATTTATATGCATATGTCTGTGTAGAGAATTTTATTCCGAACACTATACAAACAAAAAAAACGGTGTGAAACAAGTATAAACTTGAAAAACATGAGCAAAGTAAAAACTTTTTACGCTCACGGGTACAAACAAGCGTAAGATTTTATTCGCCGCAAATTTATTTGACGCTCTATTGGCCAATTCTACCCATGTTCTTATAGAACTTTCTATTGCGAACACATTGCTATAAAAATGAAATACGTAGCTCGAGAAATAATGTCAGGACAGTGAAATAAGTATAAACTTTCAAAGCGCTGCATCACAACAGTGTCGTCGCTGCTGAAATCACGGCTAACGCTTCGCCCAGTTCCCACACTTGTGCGGAACATAATTAGACATTGATAGGCATATGTCTGGGTGGGGAATTTTTATTGCGAGTTCAGAGATATCAAAATAAGCGCTGTAGGATGACTGTGAGGCTGGCAACAAACGAAAGAGTATGAACATTTACTTCCTGTTTGGGTGTCACGGCGAGTCATCTTCGTGTTTATTTACTTCGTGGTGGGATAGCAAATGCTTTGGCGACATTTTATGCATATGATCTTGTAGAGAATTTTATTGCCAACGCATTGATACCAAAATGAAAAACGTAGCTCGAGAATTGATGTTAGGAGCGTGAAAAAGATTATACACTTTTTTGTGTTTACGCTTGAGCGCCCAGAACGCCGCGCGCACAAAGCGCTTTTTTTTCATGAGTACCGCGCGTACTACTAAAATTGCACGTGGTGAAAGTTTTGCAAAGGTTCCATCTGATGTGGTTTGCCAGGTAGGGAGGGGGAGCCTTTGCTCCAGGCTCTGAAGTATCTGCAGGTTTCATAGTCTAGGCTTTATTTAGTTGTGGCTGTATCTCGACCTCTGAGGTTTGCCCCCTTCCACATACACAGTTGAACTGTCACTTTCCAGCCAGGATTTAGAAGTTTCCATTTCTCAAGTGGTGTATTTACCTCCAGTTCTTTTAAATATAGCTTACCTGTAAGGATGCCTGTAACTGTGGTTTGTGAGGAGTTTCAGAAATGATAAATACTTAAACTAGCTTTATATAATGTAAATGGGACTTAAATTTTAACATTTAGACCACTGGGCAATCATTGGCCATTACATAAAGGTAAAACTTGGAGTAAAAAAAAAAAAAAAAAAAACTATATTTTCATAGAATTTCTAAAGCTTGAAAAGCCAAAATTTTCAAAATTCCTTTCTTTTACACTTGTCATCTGTTTATAGGCAGAGGGAGATCACAATAGGAATCAATTTAAAACCAAAATCTCTTAAACAGCTTTTATTGCTTAAAACAACGTAGTTATATACACTATACAAAATTCTTGATCTCCTACTTCCCTATAGAGTGCCTAGCGAAGGGGGGGTTGGGGGAGGGAGGAGGGGCAAGTAAGCCTCGTGACGGTAGCAGTAGCCGGGAGGGAGGTGGAGGGGTGAAACTTTCTTGAAGGAGAGTGAGGGGAGGTCTTGCCCTCAGGGTAACGCTTGGGGACGTGCCTTACCCTGAAGGCGCCTGGACCTAAGGGCAGGAGGGAAATTGGGGGTGATGGTACGGTCCGTGGCACCTTCTTCCTCTGTGGCAGAATAAGGTGCGTGTACCATTTATATAATCTGCATTCCATGGACAGATGTATATTAGAAAAAAAGGGAGGACAAACCCAATGAAAGCCCCGAGGCCCAAAAATAGTACATTTGGGTCGCGCTTTGCTTGGGTTATGTGTATGGAGTTCTCTGGCGAGGGAAACCAGTCTGCACCAGCACCAACACTGGCTTGGGGAGATACAGGGTATCATTGAGCAGTGAATAAGTCCCATCACGTAGCATACTTGTTAAACAGAGATAGCCGCTTTTTTAGTTTTCTTATTATATTCCATGTAATATATATCAAAGCCCACTATTTTTCATGCGCTCTACATTAATAAGAAAACTTAATTATCGTTCACGCCAAAACTAAAATATATATAAAAAACACATCAGATGTCCTTTGAAAGGGTAAAAATAGGTTGAAACCGCAAGAGCTGCTAGTATCATTTTCTATGAACGCTCCAAGACGGTAACCAATACATGTGTGTATATATTTATATAAAAAAGATTTCCTCGATGCATGGTATTTTTGTGGTGGTGTTCTGCCTTAGTTTCTGCAAGGGGGGAAAATACAAAAATGTTACCTTTTGGCGGGAGTCTCACGGGGCTGTGGTCCTAGGGAAGAGCTTCACTCTTAGAACCGAGCAAACACGGTAAGTTTACTAGATGAAAAAATATAGTGATCTCTAAGTAACTGAATTGTCAATGAGGTTTTTAACGAGGCATGAAAATGTATATACTTGCTGGAACAGGTGCTTCAAACCAAGGGGGGGGGGGAATTTAGATATTTGAGGGTCAGACCGTCATAAGTTTATTGTTCTTAATGTTTTTAATAAATTAATTATTGGGGAAGTAAACATGTAAACACAATGGCTAAGAATAAAGTGTTTAATCAATATTGATTTTCTATTAAAGAGGGGAATGACCTGGTAAAGATTGGGAACTCCTTTCTTAGAAGTTAAGTCTAATAAGTATTGTATGGAAATATCAAATGATCAGATTTCGATCGAACATAAACATAATTTATTGGGTTATGCCCATGATTAAACTATTTTTTTCTCATTTACTTGACATAAGGAGGGATAATACGGTAGAGAGAAACGGAGCCGGTAAAAAATATTGTAACTTCGAGTAGAGAAAGATTTGGCACAACCCTGCCCAAGCTACTTAACACTTTGATGCACCCGGCACCTGCGAAAAAACTCTGCGCATTGTGCGCGCGGCGTTTTTTTCTCATGAGCGTAAACACCAAACAGTGTGTAATCTTTTCACTCTCCTGACACCAATTCTCGAGCTACGTATTTCCTTTTGGTATCAATGTGTTGGCAATAAAATTCTCTACAAGATCATATGTATAAAATGTAACTAAAGCATTAGCTATTCCATCACGAAATAAATAAAAACGTAGATCACTTGCCGTCTCGCTGTACACCCAAACAGCTACAAAATGTTCATACTCTTTTGTTTGTTGTCAGCTTCACATTAGTCCTACAGCGTTAAATTTTATATCACTGAACTCGCAATAAAATTCTCTACACAGACATATGCATATAAATGTAGAATCATGATCGCGGCCAACACAAGAGTGTGTGGAGTGGGCGACTACCCTCGTTGTGTCACCAACTCAATAAGTCTCTCCTCTAAGTTACAATACAATGCCGTTTTCTCAAATAGGCACTGTGCCTATTAGAGAAAACGAAAATTTAATGGCAAACTTATTCATACAAACCCCAAGTCGATCGAGTAGTATATACCCACTATAACACGGACCGTAAATGTACGTCGTGATCCCACAAGCGCTTAAATAAACCGGCCGTACATCCAAGTGAAGATGGCACGAAAGTGTTTTAAGTAGCTTGGGCAGGGCAGGGATATCCAAGGACGCAGTAAGAGCTAATGTGAGGAAAACTTAGTTAAAACTTAGACCTCAAGTCTTAATGAAAGCTCGTTAAGATTTATTAAGGATTTTATTATTCAAAATGTATGGAAACAGCTCTTGTTGTATATGCCGTGTGCGCAAGAGTCAGAGGGTGGGTATCGAGAGCCTCAGAGCCCCCAAGAAAGAAATCGTCCCTCAAAATAAACTTGTAAGAGCTTACTCACAATTATGGGCGAGGTGTAGATAGCTTTATGATACTAAGTTTATTCCGAAGAGAAAGCGAATAATAGCAATGAGGCAACTGTTTAACTTGGAGGAATGAAGGTTGCTGGTGAGAGCTGCAAGCCTCTCTCCAGGACCACAACACACCACTTGTGAGCGCTCCATGTTGAGGCATGATTGTCTCTTTTGTAGTGTTAGACGAGAACTGAACTTATTGTACGAACAACAAGGGGGGAGTGTGTGTGTGAGAGAGAATGAGTGAGTGTGGGATTGAGTGAGTGAGTGAGAAAGAGAGAGAGGTTAGAGAACGAAGAAGTCCTTGAGCAAATCCATAAGGGTCGTGATGAGGGTTCGAACTTATGCCCGGGATGATCCCAGACGCCGCCTTAGTCGATTAGGCCACGACATGGTTAAAAGAATTGCAACCGGGAGTTTCAATTCTTGGAATGGTTGCAACTTAACCATGTCGTGGCCTAGTCGACTAAGGCAGCGTCTGGGATCATCTCGGGCACAAGTTCGAACCGTCATTTACGCCCCTTGTGGATTTGTTCATTTGATGCATCACGCTATTGTGATTTGTGTGTGTATTGAAGCAGTCCTGTTATTAGTCAACAGCGAGTTGTGGAGGCTGTGGCTTCAGCTCCGGAGTAGTCCGGTGTAAAACCACGTCAGTTCCATAAGTCATGTATGCCAAAGTCACTATCACAAAAATGTTACGTAGAAAAATGTCAGAATATGGACACGAACCCGAAACTGTATACTTAAAACACTACCGACAAAAGACATTTCATGTATACTTTTGCCACCCAAACAGAAATAAGAAATTGGCAAAATTATTAAAAAACGTTGAAAACTTACATAAAACTCAGAAAATGTAAAACTGGATTGTGGGCAGTATTCATACGCTTACAAGATCGTTGTCAATGGCCTTGTTTCCTCGTAATAACTTCCGAACCACCGCCACGTACCCATCGTCACGACTGCTTCATCATCTGCTATAACAAGAATCTAAACTTAAACTAAGAAGCACACGGCCGTGGCATCGTAACACCTCATAAGGTAATAATAATAATAATAAAAAAATGTTCGAGAAATCACTACCAGCAAAAGGTAGTTTCGGCAAAAGGGAACGAGGCCATCTTTGCGATCTTTGTGAGGAAAGGCAATCCACAAAATCGCAGCAGACTGCGAACTTGACGGCTGGAGACGCCGGCCAGTGCAGAGTTGTTCTGCTCTCAACACCATGAACCGATTCACACACTTCTTCATATCGGAATCCGAGTAATGTGCAGCAGCAACACAAACGGAATTAAAACATACTGATCGAAGTCTTAAACGATTTACTCAAGCGATAATGTCGAAAGTAATACCTAAAACTTCGATGCTGTTAAATCAAGTTGGGGAAAAATCAATTCTGTTTGAATCTACATTTTCTAAAGATACTTCTTTTCAGATAGGTAGGTCTAACAAACAAACACTAGATAATAAATCTATTTCTAAATTAGAAAGCCTTTCAGCATTTACAGCATATGCGGCGGAAGTATATGCGATCACGAAACCTGATTCTAACTAAGACTATCTGTCCGCTTCGTGTCCATTGATTTTTTTTTAGGAAGTTGGCGGCCCCCTGACAGTGATCAGGTCGCCCTATAACGGAAAGTTTTAGTCAGAATGAGTTTTCTGTCTGCAAAAAATATAAAAATATTAGATAAACTTATAGACAATACACGTATAGCCTTAGGACATTTTTCTCTGGCCAAAGGTTCGTAACTAGCACTCATTAACAGTTCCAAGAAATTCTCTAACTTGGAAGATCTCCGTAGAGAGCGAGTTCAGTCTTTCCATTTAGACTAATAACTTGAAGCATACATTTGGTTATTTCATCTACAGTATCAAAATATTCGTGTTCTGAAAATTACACACACTTGCGCAATAGAAATTTCACAAGAATATCCATATCCATTGCTTTCAGAAAATTCTGGGTAAAAAAGATGAAGGACTTTTTTTACCATTTATCTTTATGATAAATGATACCTAAATAAATAAAATTATATACATATATATTTATGTATTAATAGCAAGAGCCAATTTAACCAGTCAATTCACACTACCACGATTCAACTTCTGGAATTGGCAAACGCCTTCCCACAAACAAACAAACGAATACAACACACAACAAAGAAAGAGCTTACGGTATATTCAGCTCATTTAAGCTTGATCGTGGGGGAAACAAAATCTCTCGCAACAAACATGTATAAATGGGTTGAGAGGAGAGGCTTCTTATTTTGATTGCACTAACAGTACAGACATATAGCGGGGAGAGGGCGGGTAGTTTTGTCAGTCAAGCACTCGCCTCTGAGTTTGGAAAAATTACATTTATTTAGTAGTTGTGTTTTCTGAATCAGGATGTCAACACTCAGGTTTTAAGATGAAAACTTAATGATTTAAAATAAACTTACGTTTCTAAGAATCGTCGAAATTCTTACCAAAAAGCATTAGTATACAACTAAACATTGTGAAGAATAATTAGCACTTGTGTTTCTTAGCAGTTAAAGGTACCATGGCATTGATAGGAAAATCCAGTACCCGTAACCTCTTGAGTACCGCTTAAAACTAGCCGCGAAACTTTATCAAGGCCCACTTATTATACTTTATCAAAAGAATCTTAAAATTATTAACACCCTTTCGAGGGTTGTGTATTATCGTACAGAAACCGAAGAATTAATTCCTATTAAATCGGGTTACCTACATTACATGAAGATTTTATCGCAATGATACAATGCTTCGTATAGTCTCTTTAAAAAATATTTTTAATAATTCCGTCAGGAATTTGGCGCATTCAAAAAAGAATCCCAGATCAAGTAAACTATTGCCTGGTCTATCAGAGGGCTGTCAGAAGCTTGTGGCACGACGCACCGAGAGTTCTCAGACTGACCAAGGAACTGTCACGTTGACAGGGTATCCAGATTTCGGAGGCACCTGTAGACAGAAGCATGAAGCAAGAAATGCTAGGAAACTTACATTTGTCAAAGCATAAGTACTATCCAAGATAGAAATTAATTGCACCTAATACTTGTGAGCAAGACAATAGTTCTTTTCTGTATCTCTTCTCTTCAGTTAAAATAATGTTCTATTGTCCATGCTAATATTGGAAAGACAAGCACTGCATTCCACCAGGCGTCCACCCAAGCATGCCTTTTGTTCCGTCTGGGGGGTTGGGGACTCCTCGTACCCCATGCCCCCCCCGCCCAGGGTCACCAATTAACACCTTGAGCATAAACGCCAAACCATGTAGTAATTTACATACAAATTTACTTAATACCTATTTATATATATATATGTAAACATATGAAACGTGTCGCTAAATTCGCACCTATGAAAACTACAAATATATCTAATCAATATCCTGATTGTTCTGGCCTGACGCAAAGAGTCGTGGCAAGCGGCCTTCGTTTGGAGCTGGGCCACCGCCTCACTCACACCACAACAAAGAAACAACAAAGATGTTAATATTGATTTCTGGCAATGTATGTTCCACTCCCACGTATATCTTGCGACAAATATTCAGACACGCACTCTCAATTGCTCTAACGTAAACACGGATTCGCAGGCTCTCTCACTGCTAATTTTGTAAGCATACGGAACGTTCTCACACACATGCACGCAAACCATCGCTTGCTCTGATAACTTATTTTGAGCACTGATGCCAGAAGATTTGAAGTCTGAAATGGTTTTGGTGTAACGATTCTTAAAAAAAAAATAAATAAAGGATATACACCTTCTGTGTGCCGGGTATATCTTACGACATCTTTGTATTTTGTCATTGTTATAAATGTGATATATATATGTGTATATTTTTTTAAGGAGAGAATAATACACTGGAGAAACTTACACAACTGGTAAGAATCTTCAGCTGACCATCGCGGAGAATACGTTTTAAGGTATTACAGGCAGACTCTCAGACACCTGGTGGTGTTTACAACAAACCAGGGGATGGCCAAGACCTCTGTCGGGTCCCGAGAACACCAGGGGCCTCAGGAAGACTTCCGACAGGCTCCAAGGACTCTTAGAAAAATCCCCCCTTAAGGCTCCTGGAATAGACCTTGAGGAGCTTAGGAAGGCCTCTCCCGCGAGTACCCGAGGAGGATCCCGAGGACCTCTAATGCTGTACAAGGACCCAAAGAAGAGCCCTCAGTCGAGTCTTCAGCCAAACAATGTTAACGCGAGGGCACTGCCTCACGACCCAAAATACTGATTTAACACAACCAAAAGCACAAATATAGAATTGGCACCATGATAAAAGAGTACTTTGAACTTTTATATATATATATATATCTATATATATATAATATATTCTCTTAAAATATTTGATGTTACCAAACATCACACACTAGATATCACATTGTTTATCTCATTTTTTCCTTATATCTTCCAGAGATAGAGGGCTAATTTTCATGCTTAATCCAGAAAGAGAATGAGAGGGGGAGCGAAACAAATATATACACAAAGTATTACATTTCGAGATCTTCAGTATATAGACTCCCTTATTCTCTCTATGCAGTGTGCCCTATTTTTCCTTAATACCCATTTTCTCTCATACCAAATTGCTCTTGTAATGTACACTCTCACTCTCTTTGTAGTGAACATTTTCTCTTTTTGCAGATTATTCATTTTCTCTTATAGGTTATTCATTTTCACTCTAGTGTAAAAAGATTTTTTTTTGTCATTTTATATTATACACGTTGAATTCCAGTACAAGGTTATCTTTTCACTTCCCTCTGTATGTGTCAATTATCTTATCCTGGTCAACGTATTCAAATATATGAGGAGCGTCCATTAAGATGCCAATGGTACCGGCGGTGGTGACGGCGAAGAATATATATAGCTGAAGCCGGTCGATCACCATGGCCACGTATTTCCAGTCTTCTCGAATCTGAAGGAGAAAATGTTAATATAGTATCAAAAAATAAATTGAGGAAGTTATGTTATTGCATAATATACCATAATAACAAAAAGCAGCAATACAAATAGGAAATCCATTAGTTAGTTTAGTTCATTTATTATGCACCCCATACCCATCTTGTGGGCGGTAGTGGAAAGGGTTACAGAGGCACATAATGGGCTCAGGGGCTCAACCCCACAATTCATTTAGCTAAGCAAGTTACAATCTTTATTAAAAGTGTAATATTATATTTGGAAAGAAATCAAGTTTAGCAAAATAATCTTAACTTTTGTAGTAAATTTGTTCAATCCAACGTTACGTTTGTGTCATACTATGCAAGTGTATGACACAAACAATGAGAAACCGTACATGCTCTTGCAATTAATTGCAATTAAACAGCGTGATAAACAAATGAATTTTTACAAATAAAAATGTGATTCTGAAGTCTCTAAATTTAAAAGGGATATGACCAAAACCTAACATAATAAAGCCTAACTTAGCCTAGGTCTGACATAACCAAAGCCTAAATTACAAATGAAGATTCACAATAATGTGGATGAAAAATGTTGATAAACCACACACTAGAAAGGGGAAAGACGACGACGTTTTAGTCCGTCCTGGACCATTATCGAGTCGATTTTGATAATGATAATCTACTTGATATCGATAATCTACATTATCAATCTACTTGATAATAGTCCAGGACGGACCGAAACGTCGTCGTCTCTTCACTTTCTAGTGTGTGGTTTGGTCAACAGAGCCTAAATTATTCCTGGGTTAGAACAGATTGGGGTATACACCAAGTATATGCAGAAAGCTTACATTTGTCTCGAGCAATGTATACTCTTAATAAATATCCCTTTTCTCCCCCGTGGACACAAGAGCGTGTCCACCGGGGGTCACTTGAAGTTGCCGAAGTGGACATATTTTTATGTCCTACGAACAAATATTTCTATAAAATTCAATTCTTATCTGATCGACTTGGGGATAGTATGAACATGTTTGCCATAAAATTTACGTTTTCTTTAGTAGCCACATAGCCTATTTGAGAGAACGGCATTGTCTTGTATCTTCGTGGTAAAACTGTTGTAGATCGCCGATGTGCGGTAACATAACACTTCGCCCACTTCCCACACTCTTGCGGGTGGGCTGCAATCATCATTCTTCATTTATATGCACATGTCCGTGTAGGAAATTTTATTGCAATCTCAAAAGATACTAAATTTAGCGCTGTAGGACAAGTGTGGAGTTGACAACCCTGAAAAGAATGGAAACATCTCGTCGCTGTTTGGAGCTCACGGCTAGTGATCCCCGTAGTTTCTTTATTGGTAGTGGTTTAAATCACAGTTTGGTGACATTTTATACAAATGTTCTTCTAGAAGATTCTATTGCAAAGACATTGGTACAAAAATGAAATGTGTACATCGAAAATTAAAAAGTGCATACTCTTTTCACTGTCCTGACCTTAATTTTCAATGTACATATTTAAGTTTTTGTACCAATGTGTTCGCAATAGAATGTTCTAGAAGAACACATGTTTAAAATGTCACCAAAGCATGAGTTAAATCGCCACCAAATAAAGAACTACGTCGATCACTAGCCGTGACCTCCAAACAGCGACGAAATGTTTCTATTCTTTTCAGGGTTGTCAACTCCACACTTGTCCTACAGCGTTAAATTTGGTATCACTGAGATGGCAATAAAATTTCCTACACGGACATGTGCATATAAATGTAGAATGATGATCGCGGCCCACCCGCAAGAGTGTGTGAAGTGGGCGAAGTGTTACCAGTTACCGCACATCGGCGAAACCAGTATTGAAAAGTGTATATTCTTGTCACTGTTCTGACCTTATTTTTCTATATACGTATTTCATTTTTGTACCAATGTGTTCGCAATAGAATATTCTAGAAGAATATATGTACAAAATGTCAAAGATGCGTTAGACCAGCACCAAATAAAAAAATACTACGTCGATTACACTCGTCGAGTCAACAATACAATAGTCTTACCACGAAGATACAATACAATGCCGTTCTCCCAAATAGGCCATGTGGCTATTAGAGAAAACGAAAATTTCATGGCAAACATGTTGATACTATCCCCAAGTCCATCGGATAAGAATTGGATTTTATAAAAATATTACTTAATCGGACGTAAATTTAGGTGGCTCGTGCAGACTCAAGGGAAGGATATCGGACCTATATTTAGGTCCGCGGGGGGCGAAAGTGTTTTAAGGGCCTTAGAGCTTTCAACTCTGAAGTTAAAGATAGGGGGTGACCATGACACACGAGTGTCAAATATTAACCCCAGAAGTTTAGCAGACTATTTATACGGAAGAGGATTACTTAAAGCGACAAAAAGGGGAGGGGGGGGGGTCGAAGAGCGACCCGTTTCCAAGTAAAAGTCATAGCTCAAGTCTTAGTTGTAGAGAACTTTAAGCCATAATTGGTGGCCCAGGACGACACGGCATCAATCTCAAGTTGAAGTACCCGTTGGAGGAAAGGCGAGTCATCACCTTGACAGCAGAGGGCAAGATCGTCAACAGAGCTGAGAATGTCAGAGGGAAGGGACGAAAGAAGACCTTTGAGGACACCCAGAAAAAGAGTAGTGCTCGGAACATCACCTAGTAGTGCTCAGAAGGGGAACACCTTCGTATAGTCGAAAAAGAGGCAGAGAGAGAGAGAGAGAGAGAGAGAGAGAGAGAGAGAGAGAGAGTGGTACTAAGCCTCACTCTAAAGGAACGTCAAGAAAAGAAGCTTTGGAGGAAGAGAGGGAGATTACCGCGAAGGCCAAAAGAACCGAGTTGGGACAAGAATATGGTATCTCCAGGGTGGTGTCATCTGCCTTATCCAGGTAAAAAATGACAACGGAGGTCCTCGAAGCAAAGTCAGTTCGAATATAGACTTTTAAGTTCACTAAGACATCAGTCGTGCTGCGACACTTGTGAAAGCCAGTTTGAGAATGGAAGCGATGGTAATAGCGTTCAAAGAACCACATCAGACGGACATTGACCATACGTTCAAAGAGTTTCCAGACGCAACTCGTTAGAGCAATGGGGAAGAAGTCTTTAGGGGATGTCCCTGGAGAACCTGGTTTCCGAATAGGAAGAATCTGGCCTGACTGGCCACAAGCCAGTCCTCAGGCACTGACGGCGACTCCCAGATATGGCTATAAATATTAAGTAAAATTAAACGTGTATGGAGGGAGATGGCGAAGCATCTCATAATGAATGTCATCAGAGTCCGCTGGTGTAGAACCGCAGATGGGCAGACTGGAGTTCTGAGAGAAGGAAGGTAAGGGAACTATCAGGGGAAAGAGCCAAGCTATTACGACTATAGCACGGGGAAGGGGTCACGATAAGGATTAGGGATGGAGACGGGGGCAAAGGCGAAGGAATGGTGCCCAACCACTTTGACAGTCTGGGATTGAACGCCGACCTACATGAAGCGAGACCGTCGTTCTACTGTCCAACCCAAGGGGTTAGGCAAGTTGGACAAGGCAAAGGAAAGCTGAAAATGTGCGCGAAAATATAAGGGATAAGATTCAAGAAAGATTACGAGTTAGGAAAGAAGGAAAAACAGATGAGAATCGGAGGTAACAGTCCAAGAGTGTGAACCCATTTCAGTCGCGACCGACACCGGATCCACCACAACAGAACCCCGGAGGTGAAGTACTGCCGAGACATCTGGAACAAACTTACCCGCTATCTTACGGATTTTCTTCCAGATCAGGGGCAGAGGAGCGTCAAGTCTAATGGTCGAGACATAAGATTTCCAACTTTCACGCTTAGCTGTTTGGAAAGTCCTACGGGTCACAGCACTCTCCTTCGGAAACAAAATAAAAAAATCGGGCGACTGTCTGCGTCGGTGTTCATGGCGTCTCTCACCCACCAAGGATGTTCCCCATGACACCCGTTCACCCATCAGGATCTACAACAATGACTCACGGTCACTCACCTGGATATACTCATCCTCGTTCCTGAGGTGTTCAGCGATGAACTCTATGGCCTCCGTCGCTTTGTACGCCTCAGGGGTGATGAAGAGCGAGTCTGAGCTCTCAGACTCGCGCCGCGGCATCTGCAACAGTGGAGACTAACTTCGTTAGGACCAAGATCTTACGCCGAGCCGAGGCTCGTCCAGCACTTACGAAATCCCGGACATCTTTCCGCAATCATTGGTGGCGTTTAGTTTCTATTCACCAAGAGCGTTTGCGAGGTTCGTGACGGGGGCGAGGTCGTTCTCGACCATCCCCCCCCTCCCCCCCACCGATGATTGAGGAAAGGTATACAGGTTTCGTTAAGTGGTTGCTTAAATGGTTCTTGACACATTCCTCGCCTAGCTTATATTAATGAATATATTAGTACGTCATGAAATGTTGACTCTGAAAATGGCAACGAACACACAAAATTATCCATTTTTTTTAATTTAAATTATACTAAATTATCGTAAATTGTATTACATTATTTTTCACTTTAAAATGTGTAATGTATCTTTGTCTTTGGAATTTCAGCCCGGCTCTGGGGTCAGTCTATACTCACCTCTCTATTAATCTTGCAGTTAGGATGGTGGAGGTTGGAGAGCTCCATGTGTTCCAGCTTGCTGGTGCCCTTGTCGACCTCCGGGCCGCCGTAGTGGTGGTGCGGCGGCACTCCTGCAGGAGGCAGCCAATTGTACCCAGGTTATGATCAGAGTATTCAATCATGTGGGGGGGGGGGGGGGGGGGGGGAGTATCTTACGACTCGGGGGGAGGGGAGTATCTTACGACTCGGGGTGGGGGTAGAGGGATGTCCCTCGACTCGTGGAGGGGGAATGTCCTGCGATTCGTGAGGGGGTGGGGGGTGGGGGACGGGATGTCCTGCGACTCTTGAGAGGGGGCGGGAATGTTCAACCTTAGATCGTTTAACAAGAGTGTTATCAGTAAGACCAACGGTGTGAGAATAATAGAGGGAAACTAGAACTAAACTAAAAGTGAACAGATCAAGGGCAGAGCTACTTCACAGCTTTGCATCTTTTTATAAGTAGTGATTTAGTGAACCAGTAGTGTTTTTCGCCCTCCACCACCCTCCCGAAGGAGGAAAGAGACTCCATATTTGTACTTGTACATCCACCATCAACAAGACGCATTAAACACAAGCACGGCTCTATGTTATTTTCTTTGTGTGTCTTTACATAGTTATTATGTCCTGAAAGTAAAGAATCGAGTTGTTAAGTTCCAGAGACAATATAAACTAAATATTAAGTGCCAGAACGCACTGTACATATTAACAGTACAGGAAATTCTACTAGCCGAGCTGACGCGTCTTGCATCAGCCAGCAACCCCAAATTATTGCGGTCATTTCTCCAGAGAACACAGGGTTGGCTAAAGACGTTGATCTGAGCAGCCGCGTGCCTGCACCTAGTATGGTTATGACTGTTGGTATTGTTTAATTGATGTCAATTTATGTACCCATGTCATTTTCCTGCCTCGACCCTTCCAAATGTAAAATAATTTAATGTAGCGAACAAGTCATCAGTTCGAACAAGTTTCACAAAATGAAATCCATTTTACCCACTGATAACACACATTGCTGGCAGAATCGCCAGGTTCCAATGCCATGGTTGTTATACACCGAGAAATTTAATTACTAAGAGAATGAAACCGAATACTCTATTCCGTTCCTGCTCACAAGGTGCCTGACCTTGCAAAGGTTAACGTAGTACCAAAGGTCCTATGCAAGACAATACAGATAACTATTGCCATTCATAACCTCCTGCATTGCTGTTAATGAGAGGGAAGAGAAGATTATTTCAAGTCACATGAGGAAACTAGAGTAGGAGTCACAATCCTAAGTTCATTGGTGAATATTGACCACCTTCTAGCAGTGGGACCTCCTCATGCTGAGGATTTTTGCTTTTCACACTGCCCTAAGAATTCACTGACGGCCGAGCCCTTCGCAATGGTATAGCTCTACTACACCTTGCTGCCCCGCCTCCTATCTTCAAACACAGATAGCAATGCAGTGAGAAACCCCAGTAAGATCACCTGATCTCAATGATTACAGATCAGAGGATAAGACTGCAAAAGATGAAGTCAACATTTTCAAGAGTCCTCACCACAGCCAACCGTCTCTCGCACTAACAGTTAACACGCCTATTATGACCCAATACACAATTCTTCAAATATATTTTCAGTTTCTAATTCACTATCTACCTATTTTTAATTTATTACCAAGTTCAATATTATTGATCAATAATTTCATCTTTTACTGGCAAATGTAAATGCTTCAAAACAACAATAATAAAATCAATATTTATTTTACGGATGACAATGTCATTTATTGAACAATAATATTTCCCTGATGACAGCGATTGTTTAATCGAATGTTACTTATTAAATAATGTATTGTGGCTAATGACAAAGGTTAAGGAAACCTACATAGATCTTTCTCTTCAGTGGTTCAGTCTCAGATCACACTACAGGAAAAGTTAAAAATCTTGAGGCATTGTGCCCCAGAGTTGGGTCTGTTGCCATAAGACCATCATGGTTGCATCGTTAGGGAAGGGAACGGAACTATCAAGGGGAAAGCGCCAAGCCACTACGACTATATAACACTTGGAAGGAGTCAGGATAAGGATTTGGGATGGGACGGGGGGAAAGGAATGGTGCCCAACCACTTGGACGGTCGGGAATTGAACGCCGACCTGCATGATGCGAGACCGTCGCTCTACCGTCTACTACCATCACTTGCACATGATGACTAGACAAATAATTTCAGATAGGGACCCATAAAAAAATATTACCTAGGAGTCAAGATGGCGGCCATTTTTCAAAATTGCGTACTTTTATTTTGAGGTAGTGTTTTTTGGTAAAAAAAAAAAAAATCAATGAAACAAAAAATGTATTTTCATACATGTCTCTAAAATATCGACAATACTAGATTTTGAATTATTTGGTTTTAATTTCTGTGTATAAAGTACCTTAGACTTTCAGGAATAAATGCCCGGTACATTCTTTTTCTGTCGAGAATAATTCAAGAACTCAAGACAGACTAATGTTTCAAGTCTTGCCCCTAATCTGTATGGTTTCCTTCCTGGAAGAAGGACACAAACTTGCTTTGCTGAGTATTTTATCAGAGAGGGACCAAACTCTCAGGCGGCATTTATTGATCTCCAAACTGCTTTTGATACAGCAAACAGAAATAATCCTAGAACAGCTAGCCTCTTTTGGAGTTAAGGGAAGACTTGACATGGCTCAGGGGTTACCCGAGTAACAGAACCGCCTCAGTCCTTTTCAAGGGGGTCAAAAGTAAACTTTGTGCACCCTTTGAGTTGGGTACACCCCAGGGTGGAGTGCTAAGTCCCACACTGTTCAATGTTCTGATGCATAAATTAACAATTGATATTCCTACACTACCTGACGAAGCCGTCATTTGTTATGCCGATGATATATGCAGTGTTGCAAATTCTCAAACTAGACTGCAAGCTCTACTTGATTCATTCGCTGCTAAAAGCATTGAATGTGGTCTTGTTATCTCTATAACTAAATCCAGAGTTCTCCATCCCCAAGAGAAAACTCATGTCCCTATAACTTTCAAGGTCAACAACCAGAACATTGAAACGTGTAGGCAGCACAAATACCTTGGAGTTGGTATTAACAGTGACATTGTAAACGATCTACACCGTACGTTAAAAGGAAGACTAAAACCATTGAAAACACTTACCGTTAAGAACATTGGTATCAATATTAAATGTGCTAGACTATTCTATATGATGTTCGTTAGATATCTCGTCGATTATAATGCTCTGCACTTAATTAATTTCCCCTCCTCTGTGTTGGACAAACTTGAAGTAGTACAGAATGAGGCCATGAGGATAATTCTTGGTGCTCCAAGATGCACAAGAATAATCAACATGCGGGAAGAACTGAAGCTTCCAACCATACTAGAGAGAATAATGCAAGTCAACACCACCTTTTGCCTTAAAGTCATGAGAGACCCTACATCTCCTGCATTGCTCGGAGACAAATTATTTAGTGCTGTTAACACCCTTTTGACTGGTGCCGACATACCAACTCACTCCTTTAATGATAATTGGCTGAGCAACAATGCCTACAATCTCATTAAACTTAACATTCCTTTTAAGTGCAATCTACCTGTCTCTGAGATTCCTCTTTATCTGTACCCCACCATTCAAGTATCATACACACCTGTCACCAAGAAAGATAATGAGAATCTTGCTCTTCTCAAAGCTGTCACACTTGAAACAATTGCCTCCTCCATCGAGAGTCTAAGATCTCACGAGCACTGTGTCTACACCGACGGCTCAGTCCAATCCTCTACTGGACGGACTGCAGCGGCATGTAGGTTTTATAGAAATAATATTTGCACAAAGACTGTCAGTGTCAGGTTAAACAACTGGCTGACCTCCACACAAGCAGAACTAGCAGCATTACACCTAGCTACCAGTACATTAAAAAAACATTGGAGGAGGAATAATATTTTGTGATTCAAAGTCTGCTCTTCAAGCAATCGAAAACTTCTCTTGGAAGATCGACAGCAAGAACCTCATACTCCCAATTATAAATTACCTAATTGATGCACAGAGTAAAGGGTCTCTAATCTCCTTTGTATGGATACCTTCACACATAAATATAACCAATCATAATGAGAGACATTGCAGCCAAATTAGCGTGTAACAAGGATGAAGTTGAATTAGATCTAGGTATCCCCATCTCTGCTGTCAAAACTGTATTGGTCCAAACACACTGATCTGATAGGAAAGAACTTACTGACTCCCAACGACCTGAAAGTACTAGTATAAAAAGCTATGATTTGTTCAGATCTGAAACCTATATCTATGGGCAGCACAAAACGTCCACTAGACTGTGCGACACAGTGGTTGCCAGGATCAGGTTGGGTTACCGTTACCTGTGGCAGGTGGCTGCAGGTGACGGGTCTCCCAATCCTGAGCACTCCAGTTGCAAACTCTGAGCAGGAACTACGGCACGATCTCCCGCACTACATCACTGAATGCCCAGTTATTAGACCTTTCAAACCAGTTGGCATAAGGTACCTGGAGCTTTGCAATTACTTTATTCACTCGTATTCTTGAAGATATCCTCACAGTGTACCCAAAATTTGCCAGTGCAGGCTACTAAACATATGGCCCTGTATGACTAACCATCCTGCGAGATGGGGACTTATTACTACTGCTGCCTTATTCAATCTTGTGTTGATATCCTCAAAATGCTTCTGGAGTCTGCCAGTGCAGACTGCTTATCACATGCCTCTGTATGGCTAACCATCCTGTGTGATGGGGATTTTTTAGCATCGCCTAGTTACCTTTTTTGACACACTGTACTCCACTTCATATAGTCTAGGGTAGCTGCACTAATGTAGATGTACCTCATGTACTAATAAAAAAAAACCATTTTCTGTTTGTGCAAGTGAAGTAACCAACAGGTTGTTGTGGGTCAGGCAGTGCATGGTATGCCGACAGCCGGCCACAGTAATTATAAGTAAACACTGACAATGGGAGAGGGAGAACCAAGAGAGCTTCCTCTCCTTCAGTGAATGAAGAAGGAGAGACAAGGGAAATAAAGAAGGAGAGACAAGGGGGAGTAAAGCACGAGAGACAAGGGAAGGAGGTAGACTTACCACTCATCTCGTTCATCCAATGGAGTCGCGTCTTCTTGGGTCGCTTCATGAAGAGCATGATGGGCAGGTATTTGAGAAACATCACCCGGATCCAGTTAGGCATCCGGTGGGTCCTGGGACCTCTGTCGACCACACCACCACCATTAGTTCACAAGTTGTGGGTTAACAAGAACCTCTTAACAAGATTTAATAGTTCTGGCTACAGTATTTAGAGTACAAGTACTAATAGAAGTAGTGATAAATCCTATAGAGCTACTAGTAATACTAGTAGTCATGACCAACAACTTTAAGAGGTAGAAATAACATATATAAATGGTATTAAAGTAAGATTTAACGTTTTTAAATGAGAACAGATTAAATAATATCAGTAATGGCATTTCAAGTGGCAATTCTGACCAATATTTTAGTATTAGTTATTATATACACCTGCTTTATTTAATTTTAATAAAAAATGGGAAATATATATATTAGTAATGTCTTAGTTTTTATAAATGATAACACGTGTGGGAGCGTACATTGAGAGCGTACCGTGTCCAATGATAAGAGTCCTACTCGGATGCCGTGTTCTAGGGGGGAGGGGGGGGGGTATCCCTGAAAGTGTTCTGTAGTAGTATTCTTTGAGAGTTTGTGTTGATGTCCTGTGGATTCGTCCTGCAGTGGGAGTCCTGTGTGGATGTCCTGCCAGTGTGGTGATGCTTTTTGGGAGTCTTGTGGAAGTCGAGGGATTGAGGGATTTCTATGGGGGGAAGGGGTAGCCAAAGGTTGGAATCCTGTGGAGGTGTACTGTGGGGGTGGAAGGTAGGTTCGGTGGGTCCGGTGGTAGTGTTCTGTTGGGGGAAGAGTTCGGTTGGGGTATCAGTGAGGGGGAGGTCATGAGGTCTTGTGTAACGGCGTCTTAGTGGGGTTTCTGTGGAAGTTATTTGAGGTTATTCTGTGGTGACCAGCAAGGCGTGTCATGTAGGCAGTTTTCTTTTGGGGGTTATCCCGTGGAGATGTTATTTTGGAGTCTGTGGTTTGTCCCTCGGAGGGCTGAATTCTGCGAGGTGCCAAGTGTGAGCGTTTTGTAGGGGGTGTCCATTGGTTGAAGCCCCGTCGAGATGTTTTGTGCGAGTGGCCTTTGGGGGTGTTCTCTGGGGGGAGTATCCTGTAGTAGTCTTGGTGGAATGTCAAGTTGAAGGAATCCTGCAGTAGGGTCTTGTAGGGGGGTGTTCTATGGAGAAAATCCTGTGTAAAGTGGGTTGGAGGTGTCTGGGGTGTCTGTCCTGTGGGTAGTTATGTTGGTGGGTACTGTGGGGGGGTGGGTGTCTGAGGATATCCTTTAGAGACGTCCTGTGATCAAAATAGTGATAGGAATGTCGCCTGAATGCCCATTCCCCTGTCACCTAAATTCACCAATTCTCACAATACACTAAGCGATTCACACGCCATCCTTCCCCCAGTCCTTCCTCGACCGACCACCCACTCACCTGAAGTTCCAGTTGATGATGACGACGGTAACGAGGATGGAGACGGTGTTCATGACGAAGGTGAAGAGGAGGTACTTGGCGATGAGGGGAAGCACCAGCGAAGTGGGCGGCAGGATCTTCGACACCAGCAGGAGGAACACGACGAGCGACAGCAAAATGGAGATACCGAGCGTCACCTGAAGGGGTTGTACCAAGGTGCTGTGAGATTTGTTGTGGGACATAATGGGGGGGAAACTAACTAAAGCAATCTAGCACCCCTCCCTTCGGGTTTCTCAACCCCTATCCTCCCATCCATACTTTATCACGTCCCTGCCACTGCCTCTTTCCCTTCGTTTAGCCTTTCCCCTTTTCATCTTTCCCTCTATTTCCCCCCCCCCCTCTCTCCCTCCTTGCCCGCCTGATTTTTTTTTAATTTTTTGGGGGAGCGTTTTATGTTTAAACGTTTACTAAAACTTTTAGAAATGTGGCGCATAGAACGAGTTATGATAGACGGGCTGTCTCCCTTGCTGGCAGTCCGGGGCTCGTGTTTGTCACCAAAGCCAAGCTTGCTCTCTTGTGCAGGGAGCTGCGAGTGTGAGGGTCTTCATATGTATTCAAACTAATATGGATATGTATAGATGAATACTCTAACTTGTTCACTCAGATGCTTATGAATGTGTTTATGTTCCTTTTGTAAGGTAATTTTTTTCGTGTGTGTTTTCTGTTTTGTATTTCATCTTGGAATTTATGTATTTACCTAATTTTACCCGAGGGCCACTATCTAGTGTCCTCGACATGGATAGAAAGCCAGAGGCTTGTCAAAGATTTTCCTCCCAATTTGTCCTGATTTTATCGAGCTGGATTTTGAAGATAAGCAGTGAATCGACAGTTACTGCTTCGACGGTCAGGCAGTGACAACCCCCCGCCACACACACAGGCAGGGGTGTCCAGAGAGGCGGGACCAAAGAGCCAGAGCTCAACCTTCGCAAGTACAAATAGGCGAGTACAAATAGGAGAATGCACACACACGCCCACATCCACTTTGTGGGGAGGACAACCCCCCCCCCACACACACACCAACTTGGTGGGGGTAGTCACTTCCACAGCTGCTGCATTTGTTCTCGACATTCTCTGATGAGAATCTTTGTGGTTGCTTGGCTTGTGCTCCATTATTCCAGTTTGAACAAAGTACCACGTTACGATTGCTTGTTGAGTTTGATATAGTAACCCCCCTATGCTCACGGTGTCCTCCCCTGAACCTTACGTATCTCGTCATAGTTGGCAACACTGGCAGCACCGTTGTTGGCACCGCACTCCATGACTGGTACCCGTGCAGCGTCTTGCATTTGACGAGAACTGTCCAGTATATTGGTAAGAGAACTTTCAGTATAAACAATATCCAAGAGATCTTCGACGGAGACGTGTAGTTGATCATGTTTCAATTAATTGCCATTTAATTTCTTTGTCAACATCAGCAAACTCAATTTGCAGGGCTTGTGATACCCCCTCGCATGTTGAGAGCGACTCGACTCTCAAACCCACACCCGTCTTTAGACAGGTGTGGTACTGATCTGCAGCTTCATTAGGACCGTTTCGCTCTCCTGAAATGAATGATTTCCATAGTGTGTTTTGTCTACGTCTGAAAAGTTCACTTAGTTTGGCAATGTCAGTGACAATCTTTGTCACTATCAGCGTCTTTCAGCATTCTAAAGATGTCACAAAGTATCACGTATACTCGAAAGATTGGGTGACATCCCATAACCCACACACACACGTTTGAAGGAGGGGAGGAGAATGAATTTAGGGATATATACCCATAACATGCGAAATAATTAGAGAGAACATTGACAAACTAAAGTCCCAGGTGTGGATGGAATCCAGTCCAAACTCTTAAAGGAACTTGCAGAAGAACTATGCCTACTGCTGAAATTACTTTTCAAAAAATCCCTGGACCAAGGGTGGGGGGTGGGGGGGTCCCTCTAGATTGAAAATATGCAGATCTTATCACTATTTTAAAAAAAGAGGGCAGAAAGAGCTCAGCAGAACACTACCGACCGATCAGCTTGACATCACACATCTGCAAGCTCACGGAGAGAATCCTCAGGGAGGGAATCATTCACCATCTTTCAGTGAACAATCTTGTACAATCGACTCGGCATCGATTTGTTAAAACAGATCCCGCCTTACAAATTATGCTCACATTTTTTGAAAAGGTAACCAGCTACTCAGACAAAGGCCTTCCGGTGGATGTAGTATACATGGATTTTACTAAAGCTTTTGATAAGGTACCACATTAAAGACTAAGGTAATTACAGGCCCATGGAATAAATGTTAAAATATTAGAATGGATAAAACAATGGTTGAAGGGAAGAAAACAAAGGGTTGTGCTAAATGGAAACGAATCTGAATGGATTAATGTGATAAATGGGGTGCCCTAAGGGTCCATTTTGGGATCTGCCCTCTTTGTCATATACATCAATGACGAAAATATTTCAAACCACATCACATTTCCAGATGACTCAAAGATTTATGGTAAAGTGGGAAATGATATTGACATTGAAGCGTTACAAATAGATCTGCAGAAACTCTACAAATGGTCAGAAGACTGGCAAATTCTTTTTAATATTGACAAATGCAAGACCCTGCACGTGGGGCTTAACAACCCACGCCACAACTACCAAATTAATAACATTATATTACAGCATATTGATGAAGGACGTTAGAGTCAAGATCCACCACTCATTAAAAGTTACACAACAGGTCGGTGCATCAGTCAGAAAAGCCAACCAAACTCTTGGTATAATCAAACGTAGTTTTGACTATAAGGAAAAGAAGGTAATGGTTCACATGCAGGCGATGAGTCACAATAACGTGGCTAAAGTATGTTGACCAGACCACACACTAGAAGGTGAAGGGACGACGACGTTTCGGTCCGTCCTGGACCATTCTCAAGTCGATTGTGAGAATGATCCAGGACGGACCGAAACGTCGTCGTCCCTTCACCTTCCAGTAATGGTTCACCTGTATAGATATCCGGTGCGCCCCCCACTTAGAGTACTGCAGCCAAGCATTGTGACCACATCTTCAGAAGTACATTGCTGCTTTGGAGAAGATGCAACACCGACTAACAAAAGTAATTCCAGAGCTTAGCCATCTCTTGTATCAGGAACGGTTGAGGGCCACAGGTATAACAAGCCAGGAATGACAAGGTGGATCTTATTGAAGCTTAAAATATTGAACAAGTTAGAGGATGTTGATCCGGATATTTTCTCCAGAAGGTCAGATGTAGCACAAACAAGAAGCAACTGTTTCCAGCTTAACAAGACACAATGTAGGACTGAGTACAGGAGGGGCTTTTTCCCCACCCACAGGGTTATTAATCAATAGAACCGCCTACCCGCCGGAGTCGTAACTGCCAAAAGTGTGTCGAATTTCCAAATATATATGGAAAAAAGAGCAAGGCAAATGGGGGGGGGGACCTTCGACAAGCCGCCGGCTTCCTGTCCTTGTCGAGGCCACTAGGGTTTGTGGCTATCAGGTAAATAATGAAGCAGAAAGGCGCGTTTTCTTTCAGTACTTTTGATGTCAAACTAATTCAAAGTTTTCAAGCTAAGGCTTATTTGGTCCTTCTCCTTGCCACAGGTTTGTCTGATCACAACCAGGACCAGACGGCGGAAAGCGAGATATATTTCACATTTTTACTGCTTTAAAATGAACATTTTAAAGTTCTTCAGAATAATAAACGCTTAACACATTGTACGTAAATTAAGAGTTTACCGTAGCTACTTTAATTTTGAGAACGTCGCAAGCAATTCAATGCAAAAGTTTACACCACTGCACAACACCAAACTTACCTCTTGCCTAACCTTGTGCACAAGTATTGTTGCTTCAAATCCCAACAACACAGCAGTTGGCACCAGCAATTTTCAACACAGCAGACAACAACAACAACACAGCAGACAACAACAACAACACAGCAGACAACAACAACAACAACAACACAGCAGACAACAACAACAAACAACACAGCAGACAACAACAACAACAACAACACAGCAGACAACAACACAGCAGACAACAACAACAACAACAACACAGCAGACAACAACACAGCAGACAACAACAACAACAACACAGCAGACAACAACACAGCACAACAACAACACAGCAGACAACAACAACAACAACACAGCAGACAACAACAACAACAACACAGCAGACAACAACAACAACAACACAGCAGACAACAACAACAACAACACAGCAGACAACAACAACAACAACAACAACAACACAGCAGACAACAACAACAACAACAACACAGCAGACAACAACAACAACAACAACACAGCAGACAACAACAACAACACAGCAGACAACAACAACAACACAGCAGACAACAACAACAACACAGCAAACAACAACAACACAGCAGACAACAACAACAACAACACAGCAGACAACAACAACAACACAGCATGGTCAGGAAAAAAAAAGAACTGTGGAACACGGAGCGCTTTTTGCATATGGGGTAACTGTGTACTGGCAGAGCAGTACACAGCTCCCGACGGCTCACGTCATGAATGTGGTACTCGCGGGACCTGGTGTTACATGTCCCTCCCGCTACCTCTCCTTCCCGCGCCACACACCGCTGTCTTCTCTTATTTTAAGTCTTTTTGCCGGCTAGTTGATAGACAGCTAGAGGTTAAGTGCTCGTGCTCGTCGCCAGCGCGGTGTTTTGTGGTGATGTTTTGGTTATCGTGTTTTACGATACTTATGCCGGTACATGGTTAGCAGTGTTCCGAGCATTTCGTTTGATTCATGGGGCCACGACGACACTCGTGCCGGATATGTCCCCCACATCCCCCTCGAAGGAAGGGGGGGGGGATTGGTTCAATAACAAACTACGTATGATTCAACAACAAACTATGTATGGTTCCATTACAAACGCAAAGCTTTGGGGCTCTGACGTCCTTGGCGGCGGAAACAAACGTGCCTTGCGGTCCTGTACACACAGGTAGGTGTTAGGGAGCCCTAGGAGTCCTTCGAGGAGGCAGGAGGCGCCACCCCCTCCCCCACACTGAACACACTGGATAGTCAAAGTTGCGGCAGAAACACCCGATGACCCTCTCCAAAACTCGTACCCAAGAGAACAAAAAAGGTCATCCAGTGACCTCCGGGATCAGGAGCCAGTTCTGCCCACTGACTGGCTCTTACCGCCCGTCTTCTCCCGTGACCCCAGGCGATAAGCGAGCCAGGCATCACAGCAATGCGGGCCGTTGAGCAAGAATACCAGACGGCATTATCAAGATCTGCCAAGTCAAATCGCCGTCCGTGTTCCAGTGACCCCCAGGCACATCTGGGATACCTGCACAGAGCAGGTATCCCAGATGTTCGCTCGTCGTGCGGGTTGAACCTGGAGTTCGGACCAAGCGTGGCGGCAGCCCGTCCTCAGGCCAGGCTCTTCTGGCCATCAGACTCTTTCCTAAATTTTAACATTAATAAAAATAGGTTTGTCCTCGTATATAAAATAATATTGTTATGAGGACCTGAGGACGGGTTGCAAATAATCAACAGAACCTGAACCCCTAACCTATGTTTAACTATACAAAAACCAACATAATAGTAACATACGAGAACAAATTATTTTAATTCACAATACGTTAAAATGGATGAATGCTTCTGGGGGGGGGGGGGGGGGGGGAGGGGCCGCCCCTTTAACGAGCCTGACCCGAGAACAGGTTGGTGGTGGCCGTCCTGCTCTGTTTACACGGATGGCGTATGAAACACAGCTGCACGCAAACTGGTAGCATTGTTTACTATGAAAATGACAGAAGCTTGGCTTAACTCCAAGCTTCGGAATTAATCAGATTGTACCCGCTTTTTAAAGTAAGTTGGGGAATTGTCTGTAAGTCAGAGCTGCATTTGTGTATATTGACAAATTGTAATTACTAAGACGCTAATCAATATAATTTTGCTTGTTTAACTAATGCCAGGTGTCTTGCTATTAAAACTTCTCAAGTTACTTTTGTTCACAGATCTTCGAAGGTTATGTGGTTCACGAGGGAGGCTCTCATCGTGTGTGTTGAAGCCTGTGGTTTGTGTTGGAAGTAATGTTGCAACTCTATTGACTAGATATGTAAATTTCTGTTTTGGAACAAAATTTGACATTTTCCTGAGAATTTATTATGAATATTTTTTCCCCTAGTACTTCCTAAATTCTCGTCTTTGTGAAGCTATATTTCCCCGAGGCATCGTTGATGTAGTGAGATTCCTCAGCCGAAGGTTCACATGAAGTTTATTAAAATTATCAAGAACTTTCCTGGGTTTCCGAGGTCTGTTTAGATTTGATTATAATCAAATTTTTCGGTATATTCTGTTTTGCATAAATCTTGCAACTCATCGTGAAGACAGCCCTGCGTCTGTCCATCCGTTTTTTATAAAGTTGCAGGAGACTTATCTGGTTTGCAGTGTATAGAGTTCAAGAGTTGTTTTGAAGGTGTAGGAACATATTATTAACACTTTAATTTTATCAGTACAGAGTTTTGACTAATGCGAGTAATTCAATTAGATTGTTACAATGAGCATAATGCTCAAATATTCACAAATATTTGACATTATTTTGTCTGATTCGACACTGTGGCTTTGTCTGACGTACGTTGGGAAAGTCTGGGCCCAGATGATATTTCTGTTACTCGTGTTGTGTATGGCAGCAGCTTCTATCTGGTTGGTTGTCTCATGTTCCAGGGCTCTGTATCCTGCATTCAGGTCAGGCAAGAAAGTAGGCAGGACTGTCCCTTCTGACAAGTTTCATGACGTTGGTCAGTAGGGTGGATGGGCGGTCTTGGTGGATGACAACAGGTTCCGATAACCATTGTACCTTTAATCGTTTGAATGTCGATGCGAGCCGTTGCCATGGATATTATCCAGGAACTAGTCATGGATATTATCCAGGATTTTGTGGAGGTACGTTGTTCCAGATTTCAATTGCTGTTCCGTAGTTGGGTCGGCCAGCTTTGTTGACCTTACAACCTTTGTAGGCGAGTACATCTTTTCTCCTTTTTTTGTATGGTTGTTAATGGGTTATATCAAGATGTCGATATACTAGTTGCCAAGTTGCATAGCTGTGTTGAGTCCAACTTAGCAAGTTGTGTGTCATTGTCTATAGTGAGGGAATGGCTTTGATGAATATTTTAAGTTTGTTCCATATTGTGGAGTTGCCTGCCTGCCTCATTGATGAAGCCTAAGCCACCCAAGAGGTGGCACGGGCATGAATAGCCCGTAAAAAATTCCTGCCTCCCACTCTTCCACATTAATACCCTGCCTTACCCCACTCTCCCTTTCCCTTCCTCCCTCCCTCCCTCCCTTTCCCTTCCTCCCTCCCTCCCTTCCTCCCTCCCTCCCTCCCCTCCCTCTCCTCCCTCCCTCTCCCTTCCTCCCTCCCTCTCCCTTCCTCCCTCCCTCCCTCCCTCCCTCCCCCTTCCTCCCTCCCTCTCCCTTCCTCCCTTCCTCCCTCCCTCTCCCTTCCTCCCTTCCTCCCTCCCTCCCTCTCCCTTCCTCCCTCCCTCTCCTCCTCCCTCCCTCTCCCTCTCCTCCCCCTCTCCCTTCCTCCCTCCCTCCCCTTCCTCCCTCCCTCTCCCTTCCTCCCTCCCTCCCTCTCCCTCCCTCCCTCCCTCTCCCTTCCTCCCTCCCTCCCTCCCTTCCTCCCTCCCTCCCTCCCTCCCTTCCTCCCTCCCTCTCCCTCCCTTCCTCCCTCCCTCCCTCCCTCTCCCTTCCTCCCTCCCTCCCTCTCCCTTCCTCCCTCCCTCCCTCTCCCTTCCTCCCTCCCTCCCTCTCCTTCCTCCCTCTCCCTTCCTCCCTGCCTGCCCAGTAGCTCTCACCTTCTCGCCGGCCTCGGCCGGGAGGTAGAAGACCAAGATACAGAGGAAGGAGATGAGCACTGTTGGGAGGATCAAGTTGACGGTGTAGAAGAGCGTCTTCCGTCTGATGGTGATGTAGAAGGTGATGTCCGTCTCGGTGGGGCCCCGGTCGTTGTGGATCACGTTCAGGAACGCCGGCACCTGCGGCACGGGGGACAAGGTTAATGCTTCAGCAACACACTGCTAGGAGGGTCACTGTGCACCCCCCACACCAGCAACACTGCTAGGGGGGGGACACTGCCCCCCCCCACACCAGCAACACTGCTAGGGAGGGACACTGCCCCCCCCCCACACCAGCAACACTGCTAGGGAGGGACACTGCCCCCCCCACACCAGCAACACTGCTAGGGAGGGACACTGCCCCCCCCCACACCTGCAACACTGCTAGAGGGTGGGACACTGCCCCCCCCCCACCAGCAACCTGCTAGCAACAACACTGCTAGGGGGGGGACACTGCCCCCCCCCACACCAGCAACACTGCAGGGACACTGCCCCCCCACACCTAGCTAGGGGTGGGACACTGCCCCCCCCCACACCAGCAACACTGCTAGAGGGTGGGACACTGCCCCCCCCCCACACCAGCAACACTGCTAGAGGGTGGGACACTGCCCCCCCCACACCAGCAACACTGCTAGAGGGTGGGACACTGCCCCCCCACACCAGCAACACTGCTAGAGGGCGGGACACTGCCCCCCCCCACACCAGCAACACTGCTAGGGGGGGGGACACTGCCCCCCCCACACCAGCAACACTGCTAGGGGGTGGCACTGCCCCCCCCACACCAGCAACACTGCTAGAGGGCGGGACACTGCCCCCCCCCACACCAGCAACACTGCTAGAGGGCGGGACACTGCCCCCCCCCCACACCAGCAACACTGCTAGAGGGTGGGACACTGCCCCCCCACACCAGCAACACTGCTAGAGGGCGGGACACTGCCCCCCCACACACCAGCAACACTGCTAGAGGGCGGGACACTGCCCCCCCCCCACACCAGCAACACTGCTAGAGGGCGGGACACTGCCCCCCCCCCACACCAGCAACACTGCTAGAGGGCGGGACACTGCCCCCCCCACACCAGCAACACTGCTAGAGGGTGGGACACTGCCCCCCCCCACCAGCAACACTGCTAGAGGGTGGGACACTGCCCCCCCACACCAGCAACACTGCTAGAGGGCGGGACACTGCCCCCCCCACACCAGCAACACTGCTAGAGGGTGGGACACTGCCCCCCCCCCCACACCAGCAACACTGCTAGAGGGTGGGACACTGCCCCCCCCCCACACCAGCAACACTGCTAGAGGGCGGGACACTGCCCCCCCCCACCAGCAACACTGCTAGAGGGTGGGACACTGCCCCCCCACACCAGCAACACTGCTAGAGGGTGGGACACTGCCCCCCCACACCAGCAACACTGCTAGAGGGTGGGACACTGCCCCCCCCCACCAGCAACACTGCTAGAGGGCGGGACACTGCCCCCCCCACACCAGCAACACTGCTAGGGGGGGACACTGCCCCCCCACACCAGCAACACTGCTAGGGGGGGGACACTGCCCCCCCACACCAGCAACACTGCTAGGGGGGGGACACTGCCCCCCCCACACCAGCAACACTGCTAGGGAGGGACACTGCCCCCCCACACCTGCAACACTGCTAGAGGGTGGGACACTGCCCCCCCCACACCAGCAACACTGCTAGAGGGCGGGACACTGCCCCCCCCCCACACAGCAACAGCAGGGAGGGACACTGCCCCCCCACACCAGCAACACTGCTAGAGGGCGGGACACTGCCCCCCCCCACACCAGCAACACTGCTAGGGGGGGACACTGCCCCCCCCCCAGCACACTGCTAGGGGGGGACACTGCCCCCCCACACCAGCTAGAGGGTGGGACACTGCCCCCCCCCCAGCAACACTGCTAGAGGGCGGGACACTGCCCCCCCACACCAGCAACACTGCTAGAGGGTGGGACACTGCCCCCCCCCACACCAGCAACACTGTGCTAGATTTTGTTTTATGTAAATATCAATATTCCTTCCCTTAGTTGCAAGTTTCGTAGCTTCCGTCGCTACATCATTCCAAGGTATTTAATATTACTGCTTGCAATTCTCTAACGACCATTCGTAAGGCCTCCGTATTCCACCGTCTAGGCTTCCAGTTGTCGACTGGAGCTTCTCCCTGTTGACTTCTCTTATTTTTGTCAAGTTTTGTGGAGTTGAGGCAACAGATTACAGTTTAATTCATATTTCTAGTACAGTCTAGACTGACATTTTTGAATCACTCTTGAGGCAAAGTAGAAAATGCATGCAAGTTAGGGATCCTAAAATTGTGAAATAAGTTTAAGAACATTCTCCAAAAAATCTGCAAAAATAATTAACTAAGAAACGCCTAATTAACACCATGAAATAGAGTTCACTTATCCCTAAGTGATTTCATGTTGTTATTGTGAATATTAAAGGCCATATCTATGCTTTTGTCAACCTTCACATTCTTTAATAAATCACTCCATGCTTCTTATCAATAAGCATCACTTAAAAAAAATTTATATTGCTAAATTTCTTAAAACTAAATTTCAGTCATGTTATATTATTTAGAGAATTAAGCATTTATTGCATTAAACTAAAAATTAAAAGGTTTGCTTTCTAAGTCATGGCCAAAAATCTTAAATATTAGAGGCTTCATTTAATATCCATGTAAACTACAAGTAAACCTAAAGGTTTATAACTTTTTTACAACTTACAAACCTACAACTACAAGTACACAGTTCCTGCAAAGTAAACCACTGTAGTATTTTTTAGGTTTATTTCACTAAGCTTTTATTATTATTATTATTTCTCTACGGTAAATGCACACGAATCCAATTTATTTAAACTGATCAATGTGTTAATTCCCTTCAGCATTCCTAAGGAAAAAAAATGTCATGGTACCTAACTCAAGCCACGAGGGGCGAGGTGGAGGTACCTTGCCCCCTGCATTATATAGCAACATTATATAACAACAGTATATAGCAAGACTGCATTATATAGCAACCTTCATGGCAGAGTCATAAAACTGCCAGCCACGCCCTCCCATCCATCCAGCAACCACCCACCTCGACAATATCCCAGGTCCCGGATTTCCAGTAGTCTGAGAGATCGACGAAATTCTTCTCGTTGTAGAGAGAGAGCGAGACCTGGTCCCCGTTGAAGGTCCAAGAACCAAACTTCATTAGGCACGTCTGCTGATCGAAGGGGAAGTAGGTAACGTCTATGGTGCACGAACTCTGTGAGGAGAGACGAGTGAGTGAGAGAGAGAGAGAGTGCTCTGGCGAGGGAAAGGTGGAGGGAGAGTGAGGAAATGGAGAGATGGGATGAATGGGTAGTGAGGAATGGGTGGTGACAACAGACTAGAGGATTACAAGGGCAACAGTAGCTCTGGATGGGGTGCATGTGAAGAGTAGCGAGGCTTTGGAAGAATGGGGAAGGTGTTAAAGGGGGTAGACACTAAGAGTAGTGAGTGGGGCTGTGAGGTAGGGGGTGGGGGGGGGGGTGGGGTGGTGGTGGTGAGGGATGGGGAGGATAGTGTGGGAGGTTTAATCTTTTTATTAAACGTAAATATCATTGTTTACAAATATCCACCGACAACATGGGTGGTAAAACACCTCTCGACACCTTACGGTACTGGAGCCTCGTGGTGCCTACGGTGCTCAACCATCTGCTCCTCGTATAGCACTTGCCGAGTGCCACTCCCCTCCACAAGGGAGAGATAGAGAGATACTTCCACCCCCTGCACAAGGGGGGAGGGGGGAGGCACTTCTACCCTCCCTGCTCAAGGGGGGGGAGAGACTCCTCCACCACCCCTCTGCACAAGAGAGAAAGCGAGGCTTGGCGCAAGACACCATCTTGCCCTGTGGCCGAGTAGTATAAACAGTGACCAATTTTATGAAGTAAAACAAATCTGGCTAGTAAATTATCCGCTCTCTGGGGCGTGTCCGGAACATCAAGTCCGCTTAGAGAGCTACAAACGTCTTAACAAGGTACCTCGGGTGTGAAAACAGTACAAAAACTTTATCTTTGATGTCGCAGAATTGACAACAACAGAGCCAATGAGTAGGAATAGTAGATGACTAACCTGGCGAGTAGAGTATGCGTGCGTATCATTGATGACTTGTAACCACATAACTGACCTGGTAGATAGCGGGCGGCACCCAGAGGACCTCGCCGTTGGGGTAGATAAGGACGTTGCTCTTGTAGCGGACCTCGTAGTTCCCATCGGCGCTGTCGGAGGAGGAGGAGAGGTGAGAGTTATCCAAGCTCGAAAAAAGGGAGAGTGAGGCGGAGGTTAAGCAGAGCACGAGTCGAGTTTCAGCTCTTGGGGTTGCATTTTCATTCGCAATTAGGGCGTTCTACAAGTTTGCGAGGCTTCAGGGGGTCTATATCGCCTCTACATGTGAGTGATACAAGCCAACGAATTATTTGAACTCCTACATATGTGCCCAACATATCCAGACCAAGCCCAACATAACCCGACCAAGCCCCACCTAAGCTAACACATTCTAACAACTTAATATTTTAACATTCGGAAATCTGTTAAATCTGGTTATACGACCCTAAGAAGCTTCAAGGGAAGCCGTGACTCCACTTTATTCTTAGAATACGTCACACATTTAGTTCCGAGTGCCATAAACATCGGCTCAGATCTCCCAGGCGGGGTGTTTGCGGGTCCAGTTCCCACCTGTAGTTACCCAGTTTGTGCGGGCAAGATAAAGCCGTTCGCTCTTTAAACCGCGCTTGTGTGACCGTCGGTTGTGTAATGTACCGATATGCGACTTATTTTCCTTGTATCATGTCCCCACGGCAGTTATGTAAACGTCCGGGCACTTAAAGAGACGCTAAACGTACAAAGCTCTGCCCAATTATTTAACTTTTGGTCGGGGAATATAACCCCGGTTCACTGGATTTAGAGTGGCGATTGCTGACCATTGGGCCGAGTATACCTTCCATGCCGTTAATGGCCTTGTTTGAACCATTAATTCCAGCTAGTATTTTATAATGGGCGGGGGATATCGCGTCTCTTTCGTTTGGGTCATCTTGCATTGATGTTAAATTATATGCGTATGGAAGGTCGAGGATCAGTTCTTGGGCCTCCACCTGTTGTTGAACAGCTTATAGTGAAATTCACAAGGAAAATATATATACCGCGTAGCGAGGGAACTTCAATCTCTTTCTACACGGGACATAAAAGGTTCCTGACAATGTTGGGATGAGTATCCTCTTGGAGGACACCCCAGCCATTTTCCCCAGTTACATCAGTTGTGTTAACTATCCCCCCCAATTTTTTTTTTTAGCTTTTTGAAGTTATTGGAACAATCTAACCACTAGTCTGGTGTGTCACGAGAGATTCAGTGCGGGTGAGCACTCACATTACGCCACTACTAGCCTAGTTCCTATAATGAACAAACCCTATATTGACATTTCCTATATTGCCTATTTCAGAGTCAATAGGGCCACACTAGTGCTTCAAGCTAATTATAATGATAGCACTATGACATTACGACTATAGCACTAAAAAAAAAAAAAAAAGGGATATAGGGGGATTAAGGATATGACGAAGGGAAGGAATAGTGCCCAACGGCTTTGACGGTCTGGGACTGGACACCGATCTGCACGAAGCAAGGCAGCAGCTGCGCTGCCCAACCCAAGTGAAATCGTTAAAGGGATATAATAATAATAAATTAATAAATAATAATTAAAACAATAGATCTAATAACAATTATCACCGCTATATCGTTCAACAAATATATACTAAAAAAAAATATGTACACTACCATCACTTTTTCCTTTAATATACAATGTTAAATCACTTTCACCATCAATCTGAACATTTTCATATTTACGTATTTAATATTCAACCAGATTGTATAAATATTCACACACCCTCCAGCCACCGCCTTAAAGTTACACACGTACGCACACTGTCGCAAGGAGCATTTCTACATGTCCAAAAAGATGTCAGGACTCAAATATACACCGAATAAATGTAAATATTCCAAGAAATCCCTAATCTTGCCCTCGGGAGGGAACGACAAAACTTCCTCCAAGGCTGCACAAGATTCTGCACCGGGCGAGAGGCGGATGTGTCGCGCTGAACGACGCCATAAGGAAGGCGGGCCGAGGCGGGCCGAGGCGGACCGAGGCGTCTTGCAGAAGGATATTTGCTCTATGTAAAGTGAACCGAGACTGCTACTGTTTTGGTGGGTCCAGGTCGACCAGCGTTTGGGGGGCATATGGGGGAATGGTTGGCGCTGATTGGTGGCGGCGGAGTTCCCGCCACGACGATGTAAACAGCTCTCCGTTGCCTACCAACAGCACTTTAACTACTGCCCGACTTGTCTCAGTGATTCACTCCATTTCCACGTCTGGCTAAAGAGATTTACAAGTCAAGATATGTGCTGGAAATAACATTCAATACACATATGAGGTCATGATTGTTGTCATGTCAAATCAGGGTTGTTGATTTGTGGAACCAATTACCGCGTAACATGGTGGAGGTGGGGTCCCTCGATTGTTTCAAGCGCCGGTTGGACATGTATATGAGTGGGATTGGGTGGTTATAGATAGGAGCTGCCTCGTATGGGCCAATAGGCCTTCTGCAGTTACCTTTGTTCTTATGTTCTTATGATTTCGCAACAACATTGTACACCGGGGCGTCGTACACTGAACACCAGGGTCCCCCTTTTAATATTTCTGGTATCTCGCCAGTATCCAAGTTTTTCTCAATATTTCCTTATAAATATTCGGTATTTCGTTATAAACATTCGGTATTTCCTTATAAACATTCGGTATTTCCTTATAAACATTCGGTATTTCCTTATAAACATTCGGTATTTCGTTATAAACATTCGGTATTTCCTTATAAACATTCGGTATTTCCTTATAAACATTCGGTATTTCCTTATAAATATGCAGCTCCAGGAGCCGGGCTTTGGTTTGCTGCTGAACTTATAATAATAATAATAATAATAATAATTTTTATTTAGGTAAAGGTACATACATAAAGAGATTTTACAAAGTTTGTTGGCTTTATAGATAGAGCTAGTACATACAATGCCTAAAGCCACTATTACGCAAAGCGTTTCGGGCAGGGTCAGTTATGACCTATTAATCTGGGAAGGGTTATTAAGGCCACGACGATGGTTTACTGACCAACCGGCAAAAAAATATTTTACTTCAAACAATCGTCCAAGACGAATGTATTTTTTTTTTTAAATATGTATACACCGATAAATAAGGGGTTTACCTCTCGGATTGTATACCCAGGACTGAGAGCACTGATATGCGCGTTCAGTTATATTAATCAATGTCTCCTGCTTTTGTTTATAGTGCGTTTTATTTTCGTCTGGTGGATATCGTTCATGAATGAGGAAGCTGTCACGATTTTCGACTTTTTTTTTGTCATTTCAGAATTTCCCTGTAATCTATTTGTCGATCCTTCTGTACGTAACCTCTTTTGGTGCATATAGGCCCTTCACTTTTTTTTTGTATTTTGCGTATGCGAAAACGTATTCTGTATGGTCTGTTCCACTAACATTTCTTCACTGTGATATGGTCGGTTTTGCGTCTGATTTATTTTCATAAATCTCCTTATTTAGATTACTTTATCTTTGCTGAGGTATTCGTGTCTGCTTTAGTATTTCAGTTAATCTTTTTCTTCTTAAACATAACGTTTGAGATCTCTTTTTTTTAAAGTTAGTTCTCCAAATACTATAATAAAGCAAACAGAAATAGCCGAGTTGGACGAAGGTTCCAGTGTGGTACAGGCGGCCATCCACTTAGTATATGGGGCAGTCCCAGTTGGTAGGTAGGAGTCGTTCTTGGTAGAGAAACCCGTCTTCCTGATGAATGTGAAAACACCACTTGGGATAGTCCCCACGACACAGCTTGGAAGACCGTACGATTCCCACGACACAGCTTGGATGACCGGACGGTCTCCACGACACAGCTTGGATGACCGGATGGTCCCCACGACACAGCTTGGATGACCGGACGGTCTCCACGACACAGCTTGGAAGGCCGGATGGTCCCCACGACACAGCTTGGAAGGCCGGATGGTCTCCACGACACAGCTTGGAAGGCCGGATAGTCTCCACGACACAGCTTGGAAGGCCGGATGGTCCCCACGACACAGCTTGGAAGGCCGGATGGTCTCCACGACACAGCTTGGAAGGCCGGATAGTCTCCACGACACAGCTTGGAAGGCCGGATGGTCCCCACGACACAGCTTGGAAGGCCGGATGGTCTCCACGACACAGCTTGGAAGGCCGGATGGTCTCCACGACACAGCTTGGAAGGCCGGATAGTCTCCACGACACAGCTTGGAAGGCCGGATGGTCTCCACGACACAGCTTGGAAGGCCGGATAGTCTCCACGACACAGCTTGGAAGGCCGGATGGTCCCCACGACACAGCTTGGAAGGCCGGATGGTCTCCACGACACAGCTTGGAAGGCCGGATAGTCTCCACGACACAGCTTGGAAGGCCGGATGGTCTCCACGACACAGCTTGGAAGGCCGGATGGTCTCCACGACACAGCTTGGAAGGCCGGATGGTCTCCACGACACAGCTTGGAAGGCCGGATAGTCTCCACGACACAGCTTGGAAGGCCGGATAGTCTCCACGACACAGCTTGGAAGGCCGGATGGTCCCCACGACACAGCTTGGAAGGCCGGATGGTCTCCACGACACAGCTTGGAAGGCCGGATAGTCTCCACGACACAGCTTGGAAGGCCGGATGGTCCCCACGACACAGCTTGGAAGGCCGGACGATTCCCACGACACAGCTTGGATGACCGGACGGTCTCCACGACACAGCTTGGAAGGCCGGATGGTCCCCACGACACAGCTTGGAAGGCCGGATGGTCTCCACGACACAGCTTGGAAGGCCGGATGGTCTCCACGACACAGCTTGGAAGGCCGGATGGTCCCCACGACACAGCTTGGAAGGCCGGATGGTCTCCACGACACAGCTTGGAAGGCCGGATGGTCTCCACGACACAGCTTGGAAGGCCGGATGGTCTCCACGACACAGCTTGGAAGGCCGGATAGTCTCCACGACACAGCTTGGAAGGCCGGATGGTCCCCACGACACAGCTTGGAAGGCCGGATGGTCTCCACGACACAGCTTGGAAGGCCGGATGGTCTCCACGACACAGCTTGGAAGGCCGGATGGTCCCCACGACACAGCTTGGAAGGCCGGATGGTCCCCACGACACAGCTTGG